AAAAAATTTTTGTGAGTGTTAGAGACAGTTGAAGGAAATAAAGGTAGGAGGAGTATGAGTAGGTGGAGAGGGGGGGGGGGGGGGGGGGGGGGAGAAGGAGAGAGAGAGAGGAAAGCAAAAAGAAATAAAAGCAAAGACGAAACGCTCGAAGATTCTATTGTAAATGTAATTTTTACAATAATTTGTTGATATTCTATTTTTTCCGTCCGTTATTAACACAACACAGATGATGCAGTAGATAAAAGAGTATTCAGAACAATTCTGCTTCGAAGACGAAAATACAAGTGAACTTCTCATCTGATGACTGCATGTGAAGAAAAATTTTGGATTATTTATATTATGTGCGTGTCATGAAATAACAAAATTTTCATATTAACCTGCTGTTCGTCATTATGTTTGGCATGTCTTTAAATGGTCTTCACTTAAATTATTTATTCGTTTGTCTCCTCTCTATCTCTCTTTTTTGCTTTTTTCTTACTTTAAATCAAAATTTTTATAGAAAGTTTATTTTCTTGTTAAAACATATTTACACATCGCATTACTTATGTTATACTGTATGAGCATGGTTCATATTTTCGGATTACTAGCCTGATCAGAATTTCGTCCATTCAGCATCAAAGCCATTCTGAGAATCTTGAGATATTCGAATTTTTGCCAAGTTAACGAGATTGATGTTGTCCTTCTTAGGTGCCTCAAAATGTACTTTTGCTAATCCCAGCAAGTTTCCAACATCAGCAAATGCTTTACGATTTCGTCGATGCCTCGCCACCATTTTTCGATGCCAGTAAACATAGACCTTAAACTTCAATCAGTAAACAATATCCAAGAAGTATTTCACCTCTGACATGAATCCGCCGATAGATATTAGGAAGCCCAAGCCACCCAGGGTGAAACAACCGATGACAGATGGTAAATCTTAAGAATGCTCTCTGTGTCTTCATACGAATTATTTTGAGTACCCAGAGCCTTCTTAGCTTTTGGAGTTCCGAACTCAGCATCATCGCATTTGGGTAGAGTGTCCAACTTAAATCCCTCTAAGAAGTATTTACTGAACGTTCTGTGAATGAAACTTGTTTGCATAATGATAGCGTTATTGAACATTTCAAGAAAATAACTGTCATTAGAAAAAGCTAGATGAGCTGAACGTTGTGGCAATCCTATAAAGCACACTAGTGAAAACTCAACTATGAGCTGACACGTAACATAATGCCACGTGGATTAACAGTCATTGCTCACGTCACACAACGAATCGTATATATTTTCTTTTTCCATGTCACACGCACAGAACGGTTGTTAAAAATGATTTCGATTACACTCTCTCTACTTTTGGTGTTGTATCATATATACCTTCGTTAATATAAACCAAATTACACCGTTGACGACTCATTTGAAGAGCAACACTATCTTCTTGAATTGGGAATATATGATTACCTTTTTCCACCAAATCTAATGCTTCCGAAACAGAAGAAGCTACTACCTATGAAATGCATGTGATATTTTCAAATAAAACCTGGCTTCCATTACCACCGGATTGAATTCTATAGCCTTTCGCAGGGATACAAAATGGGATGCATTCGAATTATACAGCTCATCAAAATACCTAGGATGTCACATACATAAGCCTAAAAAACTGGAAATTGCTTACCAATTTCCGATATAATTAGTTGTCAAATGATACTTTCCTTCGCTAATCAGTTTAATTACTCCGTCGGCGTCCTTGAATGGATCTTTTTCTCCTCCTCGCAGAAGTGCAGACAGGAGCAGGCCTTAGAAAGAAATTAATGCAATAGGACTTGAACAAGAAATCTACCTTCATATAAATAAATGAAAAATCCTGCTTGTAACAGAGAAAACATGAAGAGAACGATGTTCCCTCAAAACTCATGTTGCCATATCAGAAAAAACACAAACACTAACCAGCAATTGAAAAAAAAGTCATATCATCACTCTTTTCATCCAACTGTAACTGAACGGCGTTCCAAACCATCTGTGCGGTACCTTACATTTTTGAATAGAACAGCACTCATCGTACCTCTAATGGTCGAAATCGTTTCCGTTTCCCCATGAGAAACTCAACTCTCGATATGAAAATCATGATCAAAATTTGAAAAATCAGTGAACCCAAAAGAACAAGCCAAGTTTCTGTGGAGTATGGCTTGAAGGCATTCCAAAGGACAGACCCTATATTCTCAACTCGTCGGCGTACCACATAAATGGGTTGCACCTAAAAGACAAATTGAGTTATAATTGATTCTCGAGTTTAATAGTGTGTCACATTTATAACAGGGTAAGAAAGATCGAAATGCTGTTCCCTCAGATCAGTTCTTTGATAAAGAAGACAAGCCGTATCAGCCGTGCCATTGGCGAGATAGCCGAGAACTCCAGTCCAAGTTCGATTATTCTTAAACATGACTAAACGGTGTCAAGAAGAGAGTTGTTCAGCAATACCTCATAAGTTCCCCAGTTCAAAGCTCCAATAGCATTTGGGCTCAATATCGGTTCAATCTGAAGGTTCAAGTAATCTGTCATCATTTTCAAAATCTGAAAATTTGTAGTGGAATTGTTGCAATCAAATTTAATTTACTTCTAAACACCATCCAGGAAATGGACAGTTGAATGAAGGATCAAAAACTGGATATTTTGGACAGTTGTTGTAAACATCTGGAGGATTCCTAGCAATAACTACTGTAATGGAACTTTTCTAAAAACAGCGGCGTTTATCAGTGTTTCGTAGTAAGATAGGCAACTCACGCTCTGATTCATTTCAGCACTAGGTGGTTCAGCTGTACATGCTCTTCCTATTTCCATATATCAGTTTCGGATTTCATTAAATATTAGTAATCCTCCTCTTTTCAATACTTGTTCTTCATGTAAGATTTTACGCAGCTTATCCAATATTTGAAGAAGATTGAAATGACCGAAAAATCTGGCCATAAGTGAAATTAGACCATACGACCTAATAATCGGTTCATCAATCAACTGAATGATTTTTTTCACAAAAAATGCTAATGCACTTCTCTGATTCCAATGCTGCTTTGTGTTCTGCGTCTTTCGCAATTTAAAAAAAAAAACATTCTTGCACGTTTGCCGTTCCATCCTGTTCCCTCATTTTTCTAGTTGTTTCATAATATTGATTTTTGATGCGGATAGCGGATAAACAAAAAAACATCTGTTATGTTAGTGAACCAATTACTATAGTGAATAATTCCGTAATCTTAAGACCTTTAATTCCCCATTTGCTTTTTGAAATCATATCGTTAGGGTCATTAGTCAGTATATGTCACGTTGTATCAAAGAGAGGAAGGGGGCGCGTCCTCTCATGTTGAAAAATATCTGAGTTGCTACAAAATAACGCTAGTTTTTGACACCAGTGACTTCATTCTGCTGCAAACAAATCTCATTTACCATTTTGTATGATTTCGGTTTGGATTATGATTTTGTCTCCCAATCGCTCTTTCTAACGTTTTCAACTAGTTTCAACCTTGAAGTTGTCGATAAGTTTGATGCTTTCATTACCGTTCGCGTGCAGCATGCGTCGCGTCTTTCGTTCGTGCAGTTTCATCTACTCTCAACTCCGTTGTATTGGTTTAATAGCGCTATACAAATGATATTCCTACTGAATTTTCAGCTAATTATAAATGGTGACTAGTATTAAGATCATAGACTTCATTGTTTTTGAAGAACTAGAACGTGATGACAACTATGATGTTTTTCTGGGTTTTAACATAACACATAAGGAAGAAGCTTACATAAAACTAACAGAAAGTAAAAAAATAGGGTAAGACTTTTCGAACAACTCTTGAATGTGGATTCGTTTAGAGTGTACCCTGATCTACGCTTTCGAATGAAATATGAAAACATAGAAGTTCGGAACAAACTTAAGGTTTATTACATCGATAGAGAGGGTATACAAGGTCGTCATCATGAAAGCGATTTAACAATTAAGGGTAAAGGATCTGACACTCACGTAAACAAATCACTCTTCTTCTTGTCTAAACTTTAAGTTTCAGTACATCGTAAATGCAACATTCAATAATGTTTATCACACCCTGTACGGTTCGGAATATATGTGGACCTCCATATTTGGGAATATTTTACTAGAGGAACGCGAGAAATTAGCTCAAGAAAAATGTTATGAAGTCAAAGTCAAACGAAGGTTCAAATTAGGAGCACAGACCTTTAAATTATATTTGTTTCAGAGTCGGAAAAGACATAAAAGACCGATTTTATATTACCGAAATACCAAAGGAAGTCCAAGCTGACCACGGTTTTCTAGGTCAATTCAAGGAGTTTATGGTTATTCCTGCTTTTTCTTCAACAAATAAAATAGTATTAAAGACGAGTACAGAAAGTAGCCCCTTGGTAAGAAAGCGAGAGAATAGCCGGGACAGTGCAGCGAGTAAACCTTACAAACCTCCTTCATTTCTTCCTCAATTTTCAAGTTCGCTAAGCGAAATAAAACTTGAACCGCAACTTCCTCCATACCGTAAAACGAGGTTGTTCAGTTAGCTAATAGAGATAATATCATGATTTTCAGAGATAATAAAAGTGATAAAGAATTCATGAAAAAGGAGGTGTGTTAAGCATTCTGATTTGTTTCGTTCATAAGTACATATATAGGTTAAAGATAAAAACGTTATATTAGTGGTGTCGACAGTCAAACGCTATGCTTGGAATAAGGACTTGGGAATCGTTCCGTTCTCACTTACTAAAACTTGTGATGGTAGAGAGATTGTAGAAGGCTGGTGGTATAATGCCACGATAAAGTAGAATTTCTGATGTTTGTTCCTAATAACTGTTCTCATTTTGAGGTATACCGAAGTGACTCAAGAAAAACCAACAGGCTTGTTAGTCACTTCCATAATGGAGCCTCTGGAATTGTATAAAACAAGAAAGGATAAAATGATTATTTATGTCCAAGTATCTCAAGTCTGTTATTGTATCATCTGTATGGCTATTTACAGGATACGTTCCAATTAGAAGAATCGAAGATTAAGAAAATCCAAGATAGGATAGTTTACGATCATTTCTTTTTCGGGAATATTGGTTTAGATGATAATGAATCAGCGAATGAAGAATTGTACAAGAAACCGTGAGTTTTCTGCCAAAGGATCAGCTTCCAACTTGGATAATTGTCTTTTACAGTATTTTATTCGTTTTGAAAATGGAAGCGTATCGCAAACACGGTGTTTTTTGGAAAGTTTCTAGAATTGGAGATTCTTCGGACTCCAGATGCAATGAGAAAGATGTTGAGCAATTCCCTAGAGTCTGTTTTTTTGGCTTAATCAGTTTTTAGTTTTATAGTTCAGATGAACATGAAACAGCATTCTTCTCCACCCAAAGATGTTGTTGTCTACAACAAAGCTGAAGTGTTGGAATACAGATCGCGCGACAGCACGAGTTCTTCCCGAGAACTTTTCAATCCCCTTCCCAGCAATCGTGCAGATAACTTCACATCAGTAAGTACGAATGAGTTGAAGGAAGTAAACTGCTCAATAAATAGGGAGTCATTTGTCGAATAGAGAGAGATCATGCAATAGTTTTTTCACATGGAAATATTATAAGCAGCTTGGTATTAACGTAAGCAAATGTACTCGATCGACTCTCTCTTCATTCTCACTTTTAGAAAATGGCCCCATCTAAGTATTGGAGATACTATCAGATTTCACACGCGAGCAAATTCACCTTATGTAGAGTTTAAATGATATGTTTTGAGATTCGAACGCTATGTGTTTCAGGCTGGTTGTGACTCCGAAATATTAGAAAACACTGTGCACAGCGAAGACCAAAAACAGAAGTGGCAATATGGAGAGCGGGGAATACCTCAAGTAATCCTCAGAAACTTTTTGTTTTCTATCTGATACTTTGCAGTTCGATGTATCTTTTCAACGCCATAGCTCAAACAATCCCGAGTACATTTATCAGAATAGGCTAGGTTACGTGATGGTTTCAACAAAGGTACGCAGTTCTGTTGTACCGTACTACGCATGTTGCTGTTTTTCAGGATTCCGTTTTTGGTAGTGTTATAGCTTGGTTAAAGTCCACTACGGGTCATTTTGATGGATACGTGAGTCTTTCATTCGATGAATCCTCAGAAAAATATAAATGGATACTCGTGGATGTAGCCAAAACCGCCGTGTACAAGGTACTTTCTGAGTTGTATACTTCCATTAGTTATAACTTTTATAGAAACCTACTAATGATGCTCTTCACCTTCTTTACACCTTATGGAAAGATACAAAAGTCTGTTGCTTTCTCATTTCATCAAAATTTAGTTATCTTTAAGATAATGGAGCGTATTTATTTTTCCAATAGAGAAGCCTTTGTTGCCATGGAGAACACTTTCACAAGAGTTCATAGCTCTAATAATTTTGAATCCATCGAACACTAACTTTTGACCTTTGGAAATGATTCAATTTGTATTATAAATATCTAATTTTATGTTTACTTGTTAAGAATTGAAGTTTATGCTTGGCGATACCTAAATGCAGTTATTCGAATTTGATACGATTTATACCCTTTTTTCTTTTTGCAGATGCAGCCCTCCACCTCTACAAAGGAGGTGAGAAAGTTTTCAAAGTACTTTTTTTAGTTTTTTTTTGCTAGGCGAAACGACGTGTTGCTGATACCATTGATGACAAGCCTTCTGAGAAGGTCATGACTCTTCTAGCTGCTCTTAATAAAGCTCAAGTTCGTTATCTAACTCCCTTAATACTTCATGGGTAATATTCAGAAAGGAGGAAAAGAGGAAAAGAAAGAGGGAAAAGAAGAAAAGAAAGAACCAAAAGAAACAAAGACTATCTCTAAGCAGAAGACAGCCAGTCATCATATCAAAACAAAGGTGTTCGTGAATCAGTCTGATGCTTCTTCCAAGAAAAAGAAACCGAAGAATACAGTAGCTACTGCAGTTCAACGGAGCGCAGCAAAAGTGAGATTTATAATTTTTCGGGTTAACCAGCGAATAAGACTATCTTGATATAATGTATAGCAATCATTCGAAACTCTAACTATACCTTCCTATATATCTACATATGGCGTGGTTATGATTTACTGAAGTGTTGAGTTTCAATATCAGACCTTTTCCATGTGAGTCCATGTTCCACCAATCATGCGCACGACATGTAGCTATCGAAACATAAAAACGTATGAGAAATGAAATTAGCATGATACAGATAGAGGGTTTAAGAACACTTTGATTAAAAAAAATCATCCCTAGAAACGGGTGTGGAGATTCATAGCTCTTAGTAATCCGTAACTTTTCTTTTGAATTTCAGATGAAAACAGGTGCGACTAAAGCATCGTCAAGTGTAGGCGCACGAATGAGTCAAAAGAACCAGGAGACAGATTCTTCAGATTTTACAAAGCGATCGCGAAATCAGTCTACTTCAGTAAGTTATGGTTATCGAAATAACTAAAAAGTTAATTGGAGGTGAAGACCAACAAAAATCAGACGTCGAAGGTGGATGCACATCCTGCTGCTCCACAGAAAATTCCTCAAGATGTTTTGGAAAACATCTACTTCCGATTTCTAGCGAATATCCCGGACGAAGAGGTGCTCGCTTGTGAACAATTGAGATTAGCTGATATTGTACTTTTTCAGAAAAAAGACAACATTCGGATCTGTTTTCAAATAGAATTAGCTCAATGGTTTTATAGTGATTTTTATTGTACAACAAAAGAGAGAAAGGACTGTCCCAATTTGGGAGTACGTGAATTTGCTAGGTAAAGTCATATGTCCATTGAATTAAGTGTAAATCGGTTTTTACAGGCAAATCTTCACATATGTTCGAGAAGTGAAACACTTAGCTTACAAAGTAGATTATGTAAGATATATTTCTCATAAATACCCAATAATTTCTTATACAGATGATTGATCAATGGAGAATTTACAAATCTAACGTTCCCACATATGGGGCTATTTTACTTGATAGTACTTTAAATAATGTTTTATTGGTTCAAGGGTTTTATACCACCAAGAATAAATGGGGTTTCCCGAAAGGAAAAGTTTGTTTAATCTTTCTCTTTCTACTCACTACAGACTCTTTTCCAGGTTAATGAAAACGAAGCACCTCGAGATTGTGCAATTCGGGAGGTCCGTGAAGAGACCGGTTTTGACTTTTCCGAAGTGTCGAAAGGAAAAGAACACAAAATTCAACGATTTCTGAATGACACCATGATTAGACTGTATATAGCAACTGATGTACCAATGGATTTTCCATTCTCTCCTCAAACAAGGAACGAAATCAGGTAACAACAACTGTTGAAAGATTAGTAATTTCATTTTCAGAGATATTCAATGGTTTAACGTATGGGATTTGCCCGTAGATCGTAATGATTATTCTAACAATAAGAATCCTTCAAATTTTTACACAATTCTACCTTTTGTTCAAGATTTGCATATGTATATTAAGAGAGAGCAGAGCAGACGAGCCAAGGTTTGTTAATTGAAACGAAACTATACTTATCGTGGCCATTCAGGAAAAATCCAAAGCTCCACCAGTCGAGAGTTACTTTAATGAAATAACACCCGGAACTAAAATGCAACCCATGCCTTCACAGTTTTCTCAATCAGGTAATTCATGAATTGTTCCGAATTGTTCCGACTACATCGAACAAATTGTTTCAGAGCAACAATTTTCTTCTGTTTCTCTCAATGCTCTATTTAATAATTTATTGCCTCAGCCGAGTTCCAAACCTAGCGTAACTACTCAGCCGCCAGCAATCAACAGTGGAGATTTGGGCATTGATAGACCCCCTCTACGAAAAATAAAAATGGAGGATAATTTTACCTCACTGTCTAATCTCTTCCCACCTACCACTTCACACCCTGTATTATCCACACAAAGCCATTTCCGTCCAGTAGAGAATGGTCCGGCTCATGCTGGTTCTAGTATTATTGATATGTTACAAACAGGTAAAACTATTTTTATAACTATGTCACATACTTTTCTTCAAGGTGCGCCTAAATATGGTTCTCCTCAAATCGCCCAACCAATTGCTGTTCCGGCAAAAGCAGCTAAAGCTACTCCTCTACAATCGGAGTCAAGTAGAGAACGCACTTCCTCCAATAAAATACGATTGAGTGAAACCTCAGTAAGTAGCGTACATGTGAATAAAATTTAAAGAAGTTTCAGGCTTTCACTGCTATTCAGCCAAGTAGAACTATAGCATCAAATGCAGCATCGGGTGTTACCCGACAACATCCTAATCCATCAGCGCCTCCTGCGTCTAACCCCTCTGTGGAAGACATGGATCTAGAGCTCCAACAATACCTAGGAGACGTTAAAGATCATAAGATGACTTCCAAAATTGAGAAAGAACATCTCAACAGGTTTTTCGGCGAAGGCAATTATTGTAAACATGTAACTGCTCAGGTTGACGTCTTCTACAAGGAACTCTGATGTAAATAGCTTGTACAGCTCTGCCCACGAGCTGCACAAGATTTCAGGTGTAGGTGAAGTTCAGCTTTGTCAAGCATGGAAAAGCTTCAAGGTGAGGTTTCAATTTCTTAATCTTGTTCAACTCCGCTTTACAGCTTAATGCCGCTGATCTCTTCCGCACTCGTGCTAGGGTTTATGATAAATAGTAGGTATATCTGCATACTAACCTACTTAATTAAAAACATACTTACAAGTAATCTATCTCAAACATGTCTCTTTTGTTCTGACAGATTCGGGTATAATGTGATTTTGTAATGTATATCACTAGTTCTGAAAGTTGAGCTTAATATATCTGCGACTGTTTTCGCATGTTAACTTTTCTGCATGTTCTCATGTACGTGCTTAGGTCATAATAATCATTTTATTTGTGAAAGTAAACAGTTCGATTAAGTTCTGAATAATTGTAGTTGTTTTCATCAAAGGCTATCTATGAAATCTCTAATTGTTTTGTTCTCTGCACTGTCCTTCAAGGCTATGTTCCAAACTAAACTGAAATGATTCGATCCATCGAAAATCTGAACGAATAAATAGCTTTATTCTAACGCTCTTCCAATGTTCATACCTTGTGTTTGCTCCTCACTTCTTGATTGCGTGATTGTAATTCTTGAACCATATCCATAAGTTGCTCTTTGAAAGGAGGTGATTCATTTGTTCCAACCATGAACAAAGCGGCAATATTCAAACCGTTCCACTCATCCACCCGGCAGTCAAGCTGGATGAAATCATCTTTCTTCAATCTAAATACCAGTGTATTAGACTGTCAGTTGGAACCCTCTCACCCGATGGCTAAACCAACTTCCGTTTCTGTCAACTCCTTGATCTTAAAAATAGGTGCTAATGCGATCACACCTCTGATCTTAGCTGACTTTAATGCGGCGGCAACTGAATTTTAAAATATTGCATTTGAACTAGATTAGCGGAAAGGTTTAATTATTGTCAGTTTGACAGCGTGGACGCTGACGAACGGTTGTGTTTTGCTCTCTATCCATATATGTGTGGCGCTTGTGTTCTCTTCATTTGCGTATGTTATACCTTTCCAACACAAATAACCTCCAGCGGAATGACCTCCTATTACAATATCTGTCAAACCGGGATAAACTTCGAGAACTTTCTGAAAACACTTTTATGTTCCAATGTACTATTGCACTCACTTGAACGGCTTGTATAGCATCCTCTATGGTTGATTTCAAGCCATAGCCATCTATAGCTAGCTTATAGCCCACGCTTCCGACAGCCCATCCTTTTTCAAAAAATGGAACGACTGGGGATATACCGTACTGTCTACTGCCTTCCTTAAGGTGTAGTAAGTAACTGATTTATGCAGGTGTATTGAATTCTAACCATCCAATAACCGCCGTGAATACTCAGAAAAAGTTTTTTCTCAACTTTACCATATATGTCAACGACTTGCGCTTCATCTGTAGGAACGATAATTATTATAATGCATCAGAAAAACCTTGTCCATAGCGTATTTCATTGGTTAAGTGTTGTGAGAAGAAGTCTTTATACAACTTTTCTTCTTTTACAATGAAGTTAGCGAGAACCTGCAGCACCCATCTCAGAATTAAACAAACTCTGTTCAAACCTGCTTGCCATCTTCCCCTGTGAAGTTGCTCGGCATGTACAAATGATTCAACTTTTCATCAACCATGCCTGATTTTCACAGAAATGCTAAATGTTTAGAAGGATAAGAAATACTTGGAAAAGCTATAGTATGATGCAATGATTTTCTTTAACTGTTTCTCTCAAATGACCATGTAGTGCTTATCAAACGGTTCTTGATCTCGTATTTATAGGGGTCATATGTCAAAAAAAGTATTGATCGATCTTTTCTATGATGTAATCAGCCCATATAGCTTATTAGGCTTTGAGGTAAAATGGGGAATGTTGAAAAACATATCAATATTTTCAGGGACTTGTACGCTATCAGAAAGTATGGCCGATTAATTTGAGACTTCGTCCTTTCTTCTTTCCGGCAGTAGTCAAACGTTATTAGTTTTTGTAAAGTTTTCGGATTATCTTTATGGTTTACAGACAACCCTGGGGCCCCAATGTTGATTGATATCAAGGCGAAGTATACACTGATTGATGTTCCAAGAGCTGCAGAATCTTACAAAATCCCTTTCAAGTTTCCTGAAGTACTGCTTCAAATACATTAAAAAGGGCTGCAAATTATACTTGTAGAATTTCAAAGATATTGCAATCGGTAAAAGCGCAATCAAAGCTCAGCGAGTGTTGAATGTGCTCAATCAGCAAAGCACAGATCTTGAGATTGCAGTGGCGAGAGGATTATGGAGACGATTTTTTTATGAGGGAGCTGGAATATTTGAAAACGAAGATATTATGAAGGTAGTAGTCTTCATTCTTGCAATCATCATTCCAAAACCGCCTATAGGTCATGAAGGAAGCTGGTGTAAGTAATCCAGAAGACATAATAAAGCAATCTAATAGCGAAACGAACAAGAAGAGATTGGTGGACACAACTAATGAGGCCATGGAATATGGAGTGAGTAGGATAATGAACAACTCTTGAAAAACTTTTTCCAGTGTTTTGGAGCTCCATGGATCACTGTCCATACTGATCACGGTTTGGAGCAGTTCTTCGGTAGCGATCGTCTACCAGTCATTGCGCATATGATCGGCCAGAAATACATTGGACCTTGCCCATAAATAGCGATTTGTGTTGTCTTTAAAATAGCATCTGATTAAATAAAGACTGGAATGTAAGGCAAAACAGAAAAACCACAGCTCGTTCATCGTCATAGCAACGGTGCCCATAAAATTGAACAAAATAAAATCTGATAACCAAATATCAGAATGACTTCTCATCCGATTATGTCTGATAAGTATCCAACTTTGTTTTGTTGTTAATTGACCACGGCAACAGTGTCTTCCTAAACGGCTTGAATGCTCGTTCTTTCCGAGGCCACCCACATTTTATTTTCATCGATTACATATTTCAAAATGAAGCCGTGCGCTGTCAGCTTCTGGAATTACCTTGGTCTCGTGATTATCGATTACGTGTGTTTTTTGAGCATTTCTTTGTTTGAGTTTCCGTTGTTTGCTTAATCCACTGTTCATTCTTTCCTAACCTTGTGTAGCTCAATCAACTATGTGTCGACGTAGGAGATATGCTAAAAAATGTTGTTTTCCAAGATTCTTTATGGGACAAGCCGCTAGTATTCCCTACAATCACTGCCATGTTAACTATCCGAGACAGCCAATTGGTAGTCCTGTACGAGCCATTCATGCACAAGAGCACCTGCAACATATACCTGCCGTTCCATCAGCACCGGCTATGGTTTCTCAGCCCGTATGAACTTTGAAATCAATTTCACTCATTTGAGTTTCTACTTTCAGAATGCAATAGTCGTTCCTCTACACTACTATCCAAACAGTTTTTATACTCCATCAGCTGGTAATGGGGGGTCGATTATTAATCGCATAGAAGATAGATTCACTGAGCTGAATGAGCGGGTAACAGAAAGCTTAGATGGAAACAGATTTTACAACCAAGTTCGAGACCCAAATATTCCCATACCACCAGGGCACATTGTGCAGACAAACGTAGGAACTTTCAAATCAGAGAATAATGATAAGATTCTTCAGACTTACGTGCCCGTTTCGATGAATACTCCTCAAGGAGTGTACCCGCCGCCTCAAAGTAACGTCCCACCTTCCTATAGAAACCCCGCATTCCCACCAGCAACGTCACATGCTTATTACGGAAGTCCACCTCCTTATACTCCCACAGCTCCACAATTTGAAGAGTCCTTATATCCCTCTTTCGATGACATGGAGAAGAAAATGAAAAATTTGGAAGTCGGCTCAAAAAGCTGAACGTTGAAATCATGAGGTTTGATAATGATTTTACTGTGGTAAAGAATATCTTTATTAATCTATGATCAATAATTAATGAGGCTGTAATATAATGAAGTTTGCTTAATTTAATTTTGGGCAAAGGCTGATATAGCTTATCGTTTTTTGTGAATATCAATAAGGTTTCCAATTATATCGTAAAGCTTTCGCCATGCTTCTTTTTCTTCTTCTGTGACGTTTCCTTCCCGAATGTGCGAGAGCACAGCCAGCAGTTCCGGCACCATATGCTTAAACTTATTAATTTCAAGAGAAACATGTTTTTCTAATTACTTGTATATGCTTTTTATGAATGTTCCACTTCAAATGACTGAGCGCGATCTTACGTGTACTTTGGCGTAATGTTGAATCGTCATCAATTGAATTAACAATTTCCTATAAATATGCTAATTTATAAAAATAAATTATTTTCCAAATTCACGTGACACACATGGTTTTTTCTCATTTCAATTGAAACTTATGAATGAGAGCGGCTGCGTTTATGTGCATTTGTCAGAAACAATAGAAGGAGAGATTGCTTTCTCACAACAAATTAATTGAAACATTACGAACTTGAAGCCCTCTCATGTAAACGGTCGCATGGTTTCTCAAAACATCAGATGATAGCAACGAACTGTCGGGAATGGCACGGAATTGAGGCCAAATGTCTTTATATTCAGGATGTTCCGAGAATAGCCTGTATCGAATCAGAACTCAACCGAATCATTCAGCTTACTTCACGAAGAGTGCCAGTCCGTTTGGCGTTGCACAACGCTTCAACTCATTGAAACCATCCTGAACAAGACGACGATCGCTTCGCGTCATACGGCTGATCTCTTTATGCAGAAGCTCTACCAATGAATATGTATATACATATACATACGTCAAAAAGTGAACAAACCTTCTTTATCCATAACTGAATAGACGTTTAATTGAGCCACTAGATGGGAGGATATCTCAGAATTTATAGATTCTTATATTTATACACTTCCGCTAAGTGGGATGTTAATGCTTCCGTGATAACCTCCTTCTTCCCGTTTTGAGAAAACATTTCCCTAATTGAATTAAGCTAACCATTACATCATATTTATAGTTTTCGTAAGTTGAGCAAACAAGTAGATTATGAGAATGAAGCTTAGCCATGAATCATGGAGCGTGTCAAGTCAAAGCTAGAAAACTACAGCTCAAACAATCCATAAAGTTATAAGCATTATAAAAGTAAATGTTGACAAAATATTAAATGTAGGAGAGATGTTCTTCTTCAAAGTCCGGCTGCTGTGTACTGTTCTGAATACTCCGCCATTTTTTCTTGTCAAAGATGATCTGTCGTCTGGTTCATCGGTTTTCAATGTCTTGACTATTTCAGTCGGTGAAGGAAAATCGAAAAGATCATCATCTTCATCAGAGTTTTCTTTATTATCCTTCTCATCAACCTTAACATCATCTATCTTCCAAGTGACTTCCACCTTGTCATCAATTTTCGGATCAGCCTTGTGATGGCGATGCTCTTCTTCAATTTTTTTCTCAACTTCCTTATGAATAATATCGTTATCGATTTCTTCTATGACTTTCTTTATCAGAACCTTCTCTTCAGCTGCGACAACTTCTGCTTCATCATCTATATCCTCCTTCATCTTGTTCCACTCTTCTCTCAATTCCTTGTCAAGCTTTTCGTTATCACGCTCTTTCTCTTCTTCAGCTTCTTCTTCTTGAACTCTTCTGTCCTCCTCTATTTCTTCCATCAGTTCCTTCTTCAATTCATCGATTGCTGGATTAGCTGAGTTACTATCCGTTTTTGGAACATTTTCATCATACTCTTGATTCTGAAACGAATGTTATCTCGATACGAAGTCTAATTTTACCTTATCAACATCTGGATCTGTTTCTTTTGAACTTAAATAATCAGATGTTCTTGGTAAGTTTGGTACGTCTACATCGTCATAGTCCAAAGTTTCTTCAGCATTTTTAGCTGAGCCTGTTACTGAAGCCGAAGATTTTGGTGTCGGAAGAGGCAAATGTGGTAAAGAACCCAAAATGAAGAACATAATTCAAAACAATCGAAACGAACGAACCATTCAATCTCTCGATCTCTTCTTTTGTCATAAACACTACTTGAGGTTGTATACGCTTTAAATAATCTGAAAACTATATATCTGAGCAATATTAATTTTTTAAAAACCTTGATCGATTTTTCCGTGTTCGTCAACAGGTACTAGAACACTGCCGTCATTTCCTTCCAAAGATGACTAGAACAACAATTTTTTTTGGAAGTGAGCTATGAAATTACCATTTCGTAGTCCTTGGGAACAGGTAGAGATGGCAATTCATCTCCATATTCTTTTATTGTTTCATGCCGAGTACCATCATGTAACGTTCTAGAGTTTAAGATTTCGTAACCTTTAGCTTGTCTTAAAGCACGATTGTGAGGCTTAATTCGATGATATCGGCCTCGATGCTCTTTGATTGGAATTCCAGTACAAATGACTGAAAGTTTAAATATGAAAGTTAGTAGTATGAAACAAAATAACCTGCTAAAACCAGTAAAGAAAGAAGAGATCGTGTAAATATCATACGTTGATGTCAGAGGATGGTGGCCACAAAGAGTTGTAGATAACGCCTTATCTTCAAACAAAATCAGACTGTCATACTATCGGTTCCCTCCTCCTATCAGTATGCTCACTTATTTAATTTGATGTGTTCAGCTATTTGTCTGCAACCTTTAGTGGTCTCTCCGCATCGGTACTTCTTCCATAACCTAACAAGTCCATAAACTTCAATTTCTAACGTCGACCTCATCTGAGTTTGCAATAAAAACATGTTAAGAACGTTTATCGATTTGTCTCATTCGGTGTCTGATAAACACAATAAATAATTTGATGAAATAACATTGTTATTCATTTAAGTAGAACAATCATGTTGCGTAAACTGAATTAACTTGTTCGTGGTTCATTTATAATATCGGAGAGTACGCTCAATCGCATATCATTTTCGAAATGCTGATGCTGAGATTCGGTTGGCCACCTTTCATAGCTCTTATGTCAAGATGAAGCTATGCTATTGGGAAGTATTATTACAAATAAACGATGTATTCATGGAAACAATGATGATTTGAGCTTGGCAACAAAGCTAACATAGCAACAATAAAAGACTGTCGTTCTCTTAATCGCTCATGAAGCAATGAAACTGCATCTCTATTTTTCACTGCTTGTTGGTGTTGTAAGTTTTGTTAAAATGATAGCCTTTAAATAGTTTTTTTTTGGAGAACATCATCAATGTTACCAATTCAATCACTTCAACTCCATCAACAACACGTAAAACTTCTTTTAATCACTAAATTCTTTTCTCTTTTTCAGCTGTCATAACGTGTAGGGGTATTTATTTCTCAGGTAAGGCTCTAAGTTTAAGCTTAACACCCTCATCATCTCATTTCAGATGTCCTAGATGTGAGCGAAAATCTGCTCATCCATTTTTAAGGCTATTGCAGGTGTGCCAACAAGGATTGTTCTTCATAAGTCCCGAGATATCGGCGACAGTTGACGATCCAACTCCAATTTTGTATTCTGAGTTGAAAACGTTCACCATCATTCCTGGAGTGAGATAGATTGATAGATTACGATATTCAACACCATTCATTAGAACTTGTCCTGCAACTATGTTGTTCAATGGAAAACGCCTCAAGGTACCTTTGATGAACTTGATGGAAATGTTGAACCAGGCATTAATGAAATTTGCGCAATAAACGAGATCTATACGGTTACGCATGCACTGTAGGTACTCAGTTCAACAATTATATTTCAGGCCTGTGGGTATATCTTTCTCATAAGCACAACAACCGAAACAACAAAAACAACAACAGTCTATACTACATCTTTGACCTCAACAACTACGATACCATCTACGGAACTTTCCACTTCCACTTCTACCCTCACTTCCACGGATCCTACGACAACCCAAGCGTTGTCTACCACACCTATTCTCTCTTCTACTGAACTAGCCTCTTCAGTACCAACACCTTCATTGTCCTCCACCGTTCCCGACTCCTCTTCTACTTTTCAGCCAGCTCTTGAGAGTAGTTCTATCACTTCTACACCTTCTACAACCTCAATCCCTAGTTCAATATTGTCAACAAGCTCAACCTCTTCTTCTATCACACCTTCTTCGTCTATGGAGACTAGCACTGCTACTTTAACCACATTCACTCCATCAACATCCGCAGACACGACTACAGTATTTTCTGAACCTACTACCGCAGAAGCCTCTACAGCTACAGACTCAACTACCACTATGTCAAAAACACTCATAACATCTATCTCTAGTTCCACTTCTTTAAGTACTCCCATCGCTACCTCCACTTACACGAGCTCTGTAGTTTCCTCTACTCCCAGCTCCTCGATGACATCTTTTTTTTCAACCTCTTCCTTTACGAGATCTACGCCCACCTATTCAAGCCAGTCAACATCAGAATCAGCTACTCCAACTTCTTCCGTGATGTCATCCTCGAGTACACCATACATATCAACCTCTTCTTCTCAAAAAGAGGAATCTTCCACTGTCGTACCAACAGAATCCACTGTCGTGTCATCTAGCTCTGCCTTCTCTACAACTATTACTACTCTAACATCTACCCAACCAACTTCTACAATAGTTTCTTCAAGCACTACGATGTCGGCTACTCCTCACATTGAAACTTCTTCATCTACCGCAGCTACAAACCTGAATTCTACTTCAGTAGCATCAACAATTTTAAAATCTTCGCTTGCAACAGTTGCAATCTCTCCAACTGAAGAAGTAATGGAAACTACCCCTACACCTGTCTTTTCAACAACTAGTGTGCTCATGACTTCCCCCTCTTCTACGTCGTCGTCTACCGTGTTATCTACAATGAATGATCTTGACACATCTGATACTTCACTCTATACTACAAGTTTCTCTCTCTCTACCCTCTCTTCTTTCCAATCAACAGACTCCACATCTGACTTATCCACAACCGAAAAAGCTAACCCCACATCAACTCTATCAGCTTCTTCTATAGAGTTATCTTCTCCTACCTCAACATCCCCTGCACACTCTTATTCCTCTAGTGATCTGGGATCCACTTACCATACAGTAACTGACGTCACAGATGCATCAGAACCAAATCTCACTTCGGCTAGCGATGCTCCAACTACCACACGTTACATTGAAGACCTCGAAGAACGAAAAAAAAACGAATTAATTGCCGAAAAACTAGAAGAGCTAAAGTCGAAAAATGAAACATCAGACGATAGTATTGATAAGTTGCTGGGCAAAAATGTTAATATGAAAAGTATGAACTACTTTAACAAATAATTTTTCAGAGAGAGGAACTGATTGATCTGATTCAAAACGAAATTTCTACCAACCCGAAGGTTTGAAAGTATTAAGCTATAGGTGTTATTAGTGACATCATAACTTCTTAGATGGATGACGAAAGCATTCGTGAGTACATTGAGAATATCACAAAGAATATGACATCAGCTAATGAGGAACTAGCCAAGGTTATTTTGAAGGAAAAATAAGGAAATCATCCTTTTTTAGGCTATTGAATCCATACTCGGCGATGTTGATAAAGTTGATATCAAATCTCCGAATGTTATGTTTGACTTGCTGGAAAACGTAAAAGGATCGATTGCCGAGAGCAACGGGTTTACAATAGATCCAACACAAGTAAATTCTATATAGTCACCGAGGTATACGTTGAATTAAGAAAACTGGGGAACAGTATGGTACATACTTTTCCGAATATGGAGAACTTCGTGGTGAAGGCTTTAACATTGTACTGCATGGTTGTTCTGTAGGATGACGAA